CAATAGTATTTCGTTTCTTCACTCTCATCGTGAACTTAACAAGGTCCGAACGAATAGTACGAATGAATACGACTCGTTCATACAACAGGAATAATACATTCAAAATTGGCATTCTTAGATTTTTTTCAATGTTCTTTCAACAAAATACAAATTTTACGCTTTCCATTACCTCAACTCTTTGAACATTTTAAAATGTTTTCCATTTGTTAAATAAAAAAAAATAGTAATTTACACTAGAATACATTCTATACCTCTTTCTCTACATCTTTCCGGGTGCTTTTTGTTTTACAAATTTTCATGTCAATGCCATTAAAATTTTTAATTTCTGTCAACAAAAAACAAAATCGATCTCACTCCTCCTTAACGTAAGGCGGAAATAAACGTCGTAACGAAAAGGTGACTCTTGAAATGACTTTAGATAAGTGACATTATCTTAAACCCTCTCTTTGAAATTTATTTGTAGAAGCCCAAATTTTTAACAGTTTTCAAAACTTTTATAATACTTTAATGAATAATTAGATGCGATCTTATTTAAACTTATTTAACACTATAGTAACTCTTTATTGAATTCTACATTTTTCTACATCTATTAACTAGCAATATGAACTTATACGTAGTACATATTTTCTATTTTAATTACTCATTTTAAATACTTATATGTACAGTTAATGTACATATAGAATTATAAACTTTTAATTGAAAATTTCTAACACGCATTTTTTAGTTATTTGTCAAAAGAACGAAAAATTTCAATAATAAATGTTTAACAAATTTAATTTCCTTCTTTTTTTCTGTTAGACTAAATAACTATATATATCCTAATATCGTGAAACTTTTGATTACAGATGCCAAAAATCCTGACATATGAACTCTTTTACAATTTATCTTTTAGCAATTTTTTTTTTCTGAACATGTCCTTGCATACATATATAGATATAGGTCCTTGCATTACATATAAACGCAATATGTAGGTGTAAAAAAACCACATATATGAACTGCTTTTAGCTGAGAATTAAAGCTCAATTATTGCTTTAAAAATACACGCACACAATGGCAAAAAAAAAAATTTTTTTAAATCTTCAAAAAAAATCAAAAAACAAAAGACTAAAAATCAGTTAACTTTTTACCTTGTTTTTTTTTTTTAGTGAACTCTTTATGAATTTTTGATGATAAACGCAATTTTAGTTATTCTAGAATAAAAACTTTTTCCAATATTTTTTTGTTACTGTCCCTGGATACAATATAGAATAAAAAAAAATTGTTTAAAATGAAAATATTTTTATGCTTTTTTAATTTTTTTAATAAAGAAAAAAAAAAATTGGGAATCAAAACTATTAAAGTTTGTTCAAAACTTTCTCGTACAGTTTTAAAAATGAATGTGAACATTCACACAAATACTGGTGTACATATACATTTTGTATAACAACAATAATTATTTTGAATAACTTTAAACGAAATGCAATAACTATCTCTGATTGCATAATAATGGGCAAGCATAAAATTAAGATCGATCCATTTGTACATTTTATGTTCATTTGATAAAATAAAAATTTTGTTCCTACATAAAAAAAACAAGTCCGGAACGATTGAGACACGCAAACAGCACATAAAAATTTATCTTCAATTTGGATTTTTCGTTTATTTTATTTATGATTTCGTACAGAATGTGGTTTTTTGTGTATAGTTTATTTAAATAAGTTGTAGGTATTATTAATGTTGGCTATATTGAATTCATTGTGATTAATAGCATTTATATTTCTATATAACATCTATAAATAACATCTGGATAATGTACATAAAATATATTTATCTTCAATTTTTCTGGTACGATTTAATTAAACGACATACCTACATATAAGCTTTTCCCATAAATCAAAAAGTGCTAATATTAAAGTATTTGAATTGTACATACAGTATGATATTCTGGTTTTGAAAAAATAGTCAATGTTTTAAAAAGAAATTTTAAACTTTAGTTAAAAATACATAAGTGGTTTCGAGCAGAAGTGCCTCTTATAAAATTACAATATGATTTTTAAAGCACTTTAAATTTACTTCCAAAATTTATTTGGTAAATCAATGAATAATCTAAAATAATTTCATTTCTAACGTTATTTAAGGTTTTATTAATTCGTTATTATTATTAATTAACTGATTTTACTGAAGCATTTTAACTTAAATGTAAAATTTTAAAAGCTCAAATATAAAATAAAAATGGTTAACAAAAATCTGTTAAAAGAGAATCAGTTAAGTAATTTTTACAGTTGCAATAATAACATTTAATAATAACATTCTAACCTATTTCGAGAAACAGTGATTGTGTTTAGTCAAAATAGTAGAAATTTGCTCCATACGCCAATTGTGAAAAATGTTCTGTTCTGTACCTTTAAATTTAACAAATACTGTAAAATGTTATTTTATACACAAAAATATAAAAAAAAAATGCGGCCACTCTACAACTTTATTAAATTTTAATAACCAAAATATAAACGAGCATAAAGTACATTATATACCTACACATCAATTTTATAAACCAATTATGCTGAAACACCAATTTTTAATCAACAAACACATTAAACTAGAAAAAAAAAACAAAACCCAAATAAAAAATATAACAAGGATAAACAAAAAGAAACAATTTCTAAGATTCCATTTTAACGCTTCACTGACACATATGTATATAGCCCCATAATTCAATTTATAACACTGTTTCTACTACATACATATACCTATACAACTACCACTTATTTTCATATACATACATTGTTATTCGTTTTTCATTTTTTTTCCTCTTTTCTGTTTTACCAAAAGTGTGTAAATATGTACACAAATGTATTTGAAAACAACACCTCTATATATACAAAGCATAATTCTATTTTATCGAAAACTAAAGAAAACTTTCAAACATGCACACAAGACAACGCCAGCCAAAACATAAAAACAAAACGAATAAGAAAAAATAATAAAAATACAAACTAAACTACATATATAGGCATTTAAAATGTAACAAAACTGTACTACTACCGCACTACTACTTTCTTTTGCATTTGCTATTCTCTTTTTGTTTTATTTTTCTCTCATATTATAATCATAAGTTATGCAATGCAAGAAATGGTAAAAAAAAATTGTATACTTAACCTCAAAAACTTTAAAATTTCTATGTCGATGCACATTTTAACGTTATCTAAAAAAAAAAAAATGAAATAAAAAGTTTTTGTTTTATTTTTTCATTCTTACATTTTTTTCATTTTTTCTATGTATACTTTTTTTATTGAAGTTAAAATTTAACTCATATTTCGTATAACAGTATGTATAGCAAAAAATGTTTTTGTACAGTGTGTTATTCTATAACAAATGTTTTTATTGTTGTTGTTATCTCTCTAGTTTTTTTTCCGATGCTATTTTAGTTCTTCTCTACTTTTATGCTAGTAGTTTGTATCCAAAACTATTAATGTCCTCCAAACAGCAACGGCACATGTAGTTTTTAGCACTGAATGCCGTATTTTTGAAAATTTTTTTTTTCTTTTTTTCAATTTTTGTTTCTTGTTCTCCTTTTTTTTTTTGTAAAGGAAAGAAGATATTTGCTTATTGCTATCTGAATTAAAGCATTTTTAGTATTCCGGTGTATAAGGAAAATTTCTCTTTAAAATATCACTTTAAAAAGTGTATGGAAGAGAAAAACAAGAAAAACAAAAGAGCATTAAAAAAAATAAACGAATTTAATGCTCAATTTTTTTTTTTTTTGTTTTTTTTGTTATTAAAAATTTTTTTTGGGTACGTACCTTATTCTATCGCTTTCCTTTTTCCCTTTCTCACTCTTTACTTTTGTTAATTTTATATGAAAAGAAAAATGTTAAAAAATTTATGTTAGAACATTTTATTATTGTATGCAGTTGCAGGGATGGCTTAAAAACTCAGAAAGAAATACCAGCAGAAAACAAATTTTTAAAATAAAAAAAGAAATATAAGGAAGAAGAAAAAGCTAAAATAGATAAGATAGTGAAAGAAAAGAAAGTAAGAGAGAAGTGAAACTAAAAAATATTTTTATACTTTGTTTTCCTCCTTCTCTGGCTACACGCCATTTCATGGTAATCTATTTAAAGCTTAACGAACAGTGTACAAGAGATAAAGCCCGATATAAATTATAATGCCGAAGAAATATGAATTCGATTTAATGCTCTATGGGAAAAAACCAAAATCATTTTTATATTTACTTGGTGGAAATTTAAATGATATGCCTGATCTGTCATTGTTCAAAAAAATAAAAAGAAAATAAACTAATGACATTTTAATTTAGGAAATAAAACGATTTTATATTACATTTTTGGGGAATAACGTTACTTTTTTTTTCTTTGGTTTTCTTCTGTTTGGGTCTTAATTTTATTTAGTCCTAAATTACTATTTCATGTGTTACTACAAAAAAAAATTTATATTTTATAATGTTGAATTATAATTATAACTCAAATTTGAGTAGTTGAAAGGTTATAAGTTCTACCGCCATTGCTTTTAAGAATTGTAAGTTTGTTTTGTTCATCCAGAAAAGTTGCATCTATGTTGAGTATTGCAATTCATTATGTCATTGATGTGAAAAAATTAGAGCATCGATAATTGATCATACGTATATGTAAAATTTGCCACAAATGAAAGGAATGGCGAAACACAATATACGCAGTTATTGAGTTTTGAACTAAAAGCGGCTTATAGACACTTGTTTGGATAGTAACTTGTTTATGAATGAAGCACTCATAACATAAAACAAGTGTTGATAACATCAGTGATTTAATGAGTATATTCCACCCCACATTGTCTAATCTAATCTAATCTACTATTGTGAAAACATATTATAGGGATATGCATATATAATTTTTTTATTTATTAATATTTTTTATTATTAATATAGTATTGATAATCAGATATAAAAAACGGCAGAATTTTTATATTTTTTAGAATTTATTTATTTATTATTTATGCTGTATACACTAAAAATTTTATTTTTTTTATAGATGCACCAACAGCAGTTATGAGAATGGGTACAACTTTAAATCCCGACGATATTAAAGAAGGTGATGATGTGTACTTTGAATGTCATATTCATTCTAATCCCCGCCCATATAAGATGTCATGGTTTCATAATGTAAGAAAAATATTTTTTTTAATTTTTTTTCAGAATAGATCAAATTGATGTTCTTTTTTCTAATTTTAGGGTAACGAATTACATCACAATGTATCAGCTGGTGTAATACTTTCAGATCAATCATTAGTTCTTCAAAATGTAAATCGTGGTGCAGCAGGTGATTATACATGTTTAGCAGCAAATACAGAAGGAAAAGGAACCAGTAATGCTGTTACTTTAAAAATTAGGTGTAAGTAAAAGAAAAAATATAATAGAAAGAAGTTAGAGAAATTTGAGAGAAAAAAATCTTTTATTGTATTTCACGATAAATTAAAAAAAAATATTCTATTGTGGTAGGCATGATCAACTTATACACAACCGGAACACTTTCTTAATATAATTATATTTAAAAATTCCAATTTTAATTGAGATCATAGAAATATTTCTAAATTCTTAAATGAAAATAATTTTCTTTAAAGTTTTCATTGCAAAAAAAAAGTTACATTTCATTACAGTAAAATGTAAAACCAATTAAGCAAGCAAGTTATGGAATTCACGTACGAATTCAAATATTCAAATTTTCAATTTTTATAATAAAAAAAAAACAAACTTTATTTCAAAAAACTGTTGTAGGACGGTCGAATAGGTAAAACTTCAATAAAGACTATAATTTCATATGTAAGGTTTCATATGTTAAGGTCTGATATATATATTTTGTTTAAATTTTATATTTGAATATTCAAATAGACAATAATATGAAAGAATTAAATTGTCAAATGAAAGTATTGTTTATTTTATAGTTCATTTTGCACCTCTGAAAACGGATGAAAACTGTTCTAATACAAAATAGTCAGTAGGTTATTTCATTATTAACCAGTACATAACTGAGTAAAGAAAGTAACTGCTTGTAAAACTATGCCATAACTGTATACAGTTTGTCATATAATAATTATTAAATTTGAAAACAATTTTCTTAAAAAATCTCAGATAAATTACTGTCATTATAACGACAGAACGAATATAATCACTAATAGATAAGAATCACGTTCTTCCATTGTAATGACATTATTTCATTCCTTAGTTCAATTTATAGAAAATTTCTACATAAAAGATAAAAAAAAAAATTGGCATTAATTTTTCTAACTCTTTTGTTATTACGAAATTATCTCAATTTCATTATTCTCTTAAAATGAGTAAAAAACCGAAAAAATGCAATCATGTAATACATATTGCATAATTTTCTCGAGCATTTTATATTTTATTTTTAAAACGGCAAAAAAAAAGACTAAAGATGTATCTTGAAATACAGGGTGAACCTGTAACTCTTGGTGGCAGGAAGATGGGACAATTTTATGGAAAAAATCATTTTTCGGAGAGTTGCAAATGAATATTTAGTCCTCAAAATCCCAGTAGAAAATTTTTGGTTTTTTAGTGTTTATAATTATTATTGTAAACGTTCAATTAGCTACTTCGGAATATTTTTCTTTAGATTTTCCATTTTCCTTTATTTTCCCTTAAAATTTCTTGTGTTATTGAGCGATAGCTAATATGCATAGTAGTTATAATTTATAAATTCGTCTTTAATAAAATTTAAAATGAAAAGGAAGAGGAGAAGCATCTCTCCTAAAATTTCTCTACGACGAAAAATTGTATTGAAAAACCCTTACTTCTTGTAAGTAAATATACTTTTTGATAAAATTTAGAAATATTCTACTTTTAATGGGATCAGTTCCTCTGTTTCGCATATCGGGAAAACATATAAAAATAGTCATAGACTAACTCACTTTGTTTACGACTACTTATTTAGTTCATGTTTATCTCACATTTATAATCAAGCATAACTCATACAATTTATTTAAAATTTCTTCATCATTTTCTAAAAAAGAAAAGGATTTAATTTTTTTTTTGTTTTTAAAAATTTGTTTTTTTTTGAAAAAAGAAAAATTTCCTAAATAATAATTTTCTATTCTTCATATTTTTTTTTTTATTTATTTCTTTCTAATACAACTATACAAAATAATAATTGCATCAATAACAACAACAATAACATCAAACAACAATAATAACTACTGTGGGAATAATAACAATGGAATACCTGTGTATTACAAATTTTAAATATATTCAATACATGCACACATTAAATATTATTCTATATGTATTCTATATTATTTTGATGTACACCATTAGATGCACCAATTTGTATTCTTGAACATGAAGAACTATTAGGTGCTCTAAAACATGAAACATTGACATTAAAATGTGAAGTTGATGCATCTCCACCGGCTGATTCATTTCAATGGACATTTAATTCATCTGGTGAACAAACTGAGCTTCCGGCCAAATTACATTCAAGTGAGGTAAGTAAATATATAATATAATAATATAATATTTATTTGCATATGTATGTTATATGTATGTGGTATATATACATACATGAGTATAAATGTAGATATATTGAAAATAATAATGTATTCAGTGCACATAATATTTTTATATTGTATTCTTAAAATTTACTTGATGAAAACTATTATATGATTGTAATCATCATAATCATCATCATTTTCATCATCATCATCTTTATCATTATAATAAAAAGTTGTAAATTATTCTAGAAATTCTATTATATATATATATATATAAATGTACATATATGTAATTTGTAAATTTCATCTTTTATATCCTTTACTAAAGTGAAACAAATTCTTTCTTTTAGAATATCTAAAAGAAAAATCTTTTTAAAGCCAAAAATATTTAGTTATACGTCCTTTTTACATCTGTTCATCTTTTAATATGCCAAAAGTAGTTTTTCCTTCCTTTATTATAAACTCATATAAGCAAACATACAAGTGCTTTATTGTCGTCTTTCTGTTCAATTCCTAAAATAATATTATATTATAATTTTAACAGTATGGTCAAAATTTTCATTCGGTCATTTAAAATACTAAATCCAAGATGTGCATTGATTTTAGAATAAGATCAAAATTCAAGAATATTTTTTTTGTATTTTTTAACATGTATGATGAAACTTAGTTATGGGTTGTCATGATGACTTTTTTACGTACAGATTTAAGCATTATTCGTTTTAGAAATTTTTTCAACTATTTGATTTTTAAATTTCAATTTTAATGTAATTTTTAAATATTTAAATGTAAAGTATTGAAACGAAATTGTGTAAAATAAACTTAATTACAATTAAAATTATAATAAAGTTTTATAATTTCTTATAAATAGCTTAATATTTAATATTTACACAATTATTCAGGTTTTTGCTCCGAATTCGTAAACTATTATGCCCGTTCTATTCACATAATCATCGACTTTTAATCACTTTCACTCTATTTTATAAAAATTAAATGTAACTTAAACAAGATTCAATTAATTTAATTAAAACTTTTTTAATCTAAGTCTTAATCGTCAATGCACTAGACAGAACTTTCTGCAAATTAAACAATAATTTTTTAAACATATCTTCTCTAACAAAATTGAAAATTTAATATAGAAAGCAATTAAGTAGAGACCTAGTGTACATAATTGAATCTGGTAGAAAAATATAGTAAAAAATTAACATAACTCACAAATTGTGACTGACTAATTCAATTTCTGGAATTTTAAATATTAAAAATTTGCTCATAAAAATTTTACTTTACTGTGTTTTCTGATAAATAATAAAGAAAACATTGTTTCAAAAAATCCATTTCCTAACAAACACATGAATAAGCTGCATAAAAGAAAGTATTAGAAGAGCTTGCAAATAAAAAACTGTATAAATTTTAACATTATCTTATAAATTAATTTTCATTAAAATTTCATCTAATACAACATGTATATATATATAATATACATTTATGTAAATATTTTGTTCCATACGTAAATTACTTCAAAATATACAAATAACAAGTTATTCTTATATAAAAGATGATCATAATACTCGTATAGTAAAAAACAAAATACAAAATACTCAGATATGGTTAGCATATAACTGACCGCAATGTGTATTTTTAGTTTAGTGAAGGTATTTGAGAAGATTATAAAAACGCTTTTTGAACAATTCTCAAGAAAGCAAGCATGCTTTTAGTTAACAGAGCTAGTTATCCCAAAAACTGATCAATCCATGACATAGCCAAATCTCACATATAAAATCAAAATCGGTGATTTTCACCGAAAACTCGACATCCAAAATTTGGTGCCGTCACATAACCTCTCTTATTGTATACAATACAGTCGGTAAAAATGGACATTTTGTTTTACATAACATTGGGTAAAAAGGAAAAAAAAATTGCAAGACTATAATATTTTTGATTAGAAAACCTTGATATGATTTTGGTTTTCGTTTAAATGAAATATGGTAATTAAGTTGTTAATGTTCATACATAGTAACATAATAATTACAATGCATTATTTTACTTATTCAAAAATTACAAAAAGAAATTTAATATTAAATATTTTTTGTAACATTGTTATTGGATAAGTTAATATAGTAAGAAGGATTTTTTTAGAGTTAGTCCTTCCATATATTTTCTGTTTTATAAAAAGTCTAATAGTAGTTATTGTTGTTTAATATTTTTGAAGTTAATGAATAATAACGTAAAACAAGAAAACTTCGTATCCCTACAGGCATTTGTTATATCAACGTAAAGAAGTACGTATGTATTTTAAATAATGCAATTGCGAAACTGCTATATTCCAATTAGAAAATTTTTACTAACAGTCATTTAATTATTATACATAATAAAAAATTTTTGTTGTTTGGATACATAATTTGCAAGAAAATTGAATATTTTTTAGATTTCCTCCTGGCTTTTAGAATAGATGGGCTTTGTAAAAATGTTCCTCTGAGAAAAAGGTTTTTTTCGAAAATTCATCTGTGAGCAAAGTTTCATAGCTTTCTATCTTGAAGAGTGTAGAAGTTTTTAAACAGACTGACGAATCAAAAGGCAAAGTAAAAATAATATACCTATATTTTCTTCAATTTATAAAAAACATCTTAAAAAATATATTTAAAATCTTAATTACAATCACTCATTTGTTTCACCTTCTAGTATTCAAACTTATAATTTTCATAATTGGTAATTTCTTCATTTATTCCATTAAAATTTCTCTAAAGAAAGATTTTTCATACATATATAGACACAAAAATAATTTAATAATATAAAGTAATTACCTTTAAAATAAAAAATCCATTTTAAAGATTAAAAAACTTTTTTGCTCTATTCCTATATAGATACTCAAATCTTTACACAATTTTTATAACGTAAAATAAAAGTAAACCTATAATTTCCAAAATAATTCCAAACTATCTTCGAAAATGTCTTGAATATTTAAAAATTAATTTCTTTTTTTATTCTTTTTAATTTCTATTTATGAAATAAAAAAAAATTGAGAATATTAAAAAATTTAAAATAAAAAATTGTGCATAATAGTGTATATACACTTGTATATTCCTACCTTTTATATTATTCAAAATTCATAGACTTTGCACATCATGAAAATTTCCAAAACTTATGATTTATTCAAATACAATTTTACAATTTATTAAAGTTGCTATAATTTTTTATGAATGAATTCGTACATACACCAATATCTGTGTTATATTTCAAAAAATTCAAATATACACTTACAAGAATGAACATACATACTCAAGTAAAATAAAAAGCTCAGCAAAATTCAATATCAACTAATGAATTACAACTTTCATAGTAAAACAAGCTATAGGTACAGGCTCTGGTGAAAAAAAAATCATTGAAACGTTCCAAAATCATTATTTAAACTCCTATAACAATGTGTTAATAACATGGTAGTTGAGGAAAATATCGAGAGGGTAGTTAAGTTGAATTATGATAAAAATTTTGATGGTTTTAGTTTAATAATTGTAAAATCAAAAGCCTAAAACATAATCTAAAACTAGTAGAACTCAATGGTTCTACTAGTATGGTTCTCTAATATGGTTTGAACAGGAACAGAACAATTTATCAAGTTATTTTACTAAGTCGAGTTATATATTATTCTTATAAAGAATTGAATTTCTATAACAAATGTTCAAAACTTCCTAAAATATTTTCTTCTAAAATGAAGTTTTAACAGACACATTTATCATTCTATAAAAAAAAATTCTGATAACCACAGACATAAAGCGAATTTGTCAAATTACTTTTGACATATTATAATCATTATTAATATTATTAAAACAAAAACCCAAACAACCAAACCAAATATCAAAACCAATCTGCTTAAAATTCCTGTTTGAATGCAAACCGAAATAGCAAATAATATTTTCAATTGTTTGAAGATAAATTCTTTGAAAATTTTGCATACCACATTCATATAAAACCAAACACTTATAATAGAATTTAAAGCCGCAAATTAAAACTTTAACATTAAATACAGAAATTTTTATTATAGAACTGCATATATTTGAAAGTATTTCGTTTATAATATTATTATTATGTGTGTCCAATTATCACAATAATCTAATATATTAAATTATCTTTAAAAATCATTTAAAAATTTTGAATCGAAATCTAATGTTTGCATTATTTTTGATTTTATACAAAATGGCAACCCCACAACAAGTTTAAAAAAATTACTGAAAATGCAAAAAAGTTGGCTACAAATATGTAATGTAATGTTTTTCCTACGAATCCTAAATTATAGTTTAAATTGACGAAATTAAATAATTACATTAACGTTAAATCAAGCTTACGAGCTAATAATAAGCTTATTAAGAGCCAATAATCGTTTCAAGGCTAAATATTTAAATCTGTATTAGATTTTATAGATCCACGAGCATTTGCCTTAATAATTATTTCAAACTTATTCAGCAAAATGACGGAAAACGTGCTAATTTGCATCTGGATTTAAAAGTGTTAATCGAATTTATTTAAGAATTTAGAATATAAGACCACAAATTATAATCGAACTAATTAGTACACAATAATATCACGTTGTATATCTACATTTATCTTGAATAGCTTCAAAACCCTATATTAACAATGATTCAAAAAGAAAATAAATTTAAAGTTCTTTAGTGCCATAGCTGCGGTTCTGTTTTTCTATAATTTGAAAAAAAAGCAGCTAAAACCGTTCAACGTTATTTCATTTAATGATTTTCACGCTATTTATAATTTTTCTAGACAAATGTGTCACATAATTGTATATAATTAGTAATTGTTCGATATTATCGAGATTTGACTAACCAATATACTAAAATTCAGAATTTTTCAAAAAGTTTTATAAAATTAATATACTGACCAAAATTTTGCCATAAGTTTTATTTACTCTTACTAGGTATTTGCTCTTTACTAATTGAAAGAAATTTTCATCAAAACTGTATAACTAAACATTTTTTATCGACTGTGCTTTTTTCCTTACCATTATAGATTTTATAATAAAAATAAATAAAAGGATTAATATTTTTAAGGAAAATACCTGAAAGAAATTTCTTAACTTCATTATTATTTAACTCTTTTTGTTGTTTTTTTTTTTGTTCAGTATTGATATAAAAATTCTCTTTCATCCTTTATATCCTTAAAATTTCATTTAGTATTTTACATGCAAAATTTTAAAATTATTTTCATTTTCTTATTTGAACACATTTTTACACGTCATGTATGTATTTCATACATGAATTATACAAGCTAAAATATACAGGGTGTTTCTCATAACGTGGCAAATATTTTCACAGATGATTCTTTGATTAATATTATTGACCAGATTTTAAAGATTAAAGAAAAAAATATACCAAATTTTTCCTGCATATAAACAAAATGCTTATAATTTCGGAATCAAGCGAAATACAATACGAATTGCTAAACTAATAAAATATTTGCGAATGTTATGTTTGTATGAAATGTACGAAATATTAATTTTTCGCATATTTTTTAAATGCATATATCATGTATTTAAAAAACGTGTTAAAACACGTTTTACTAGCAAAACTATGACAGGTAGTGGAAAATGTTATACGAGTTAACGTTAGATTTTACTGTGGCGGATCGAAAAAACCAAAAAAAAATTAATAAATTTTCGATAAATTTTGAGATTAAAAAAAAATTTGATTTGGACGAACTTTGTCTTGAAAACTGTGGATCAAATCGAATAGATTGTAAGACAATCAGTTTCCTGTAAAACAAATCACCGATGGTTAATGATGTCGCATGGTTCCGAAGCTATAAGCATTTGTTTATATGCAAGAAAAATCTGGAACCTTTAGTTCTGAACAGGCTGTAACTCGAAAAGTATATCTGCACCCGACATTCCTCCCCCCGTTAAATAAAGAATCATTCATAAAATTATTTTCCACCTTATATGAAACACCTTATACGTACAGGTCTATGTTCGTCTACGTAATATATTGATCATCAAAATTTATAGTTATTACAAAATATTGCATAATATTTTCATTCATACATATGTATATACACTCTAGGTACAAGTAATATATTAATCTGATATATATATATATATATATGTTCTTGTAAATTTTTATAAATGTTTAACGTTCATGTATGCAAGTTAAAACTATTTATTAAGATTTCTTATCTCAAATTTGAATCGTAGTAGAAGCAAAATCCTTTTATTTTTCCTTTCTTTTTTATTTTTACCTGTATTTGAGTAGAAATGTAGAATTATATAAACATACACTGATACACATATTGTATTATATCACTTTTAGTATAGAATGTAAATTTATGTATAATAGTATGCAATTAGTATTAACAAACTAAATATTTTCTTATTTAAAACGAACTGAAACCAAAATATAATATTTATTTTAAATGTACATATTATGTATATATGTATGAGTAAAATTTAAATTGTATGCAATATTATTTTTTTTTTGCAGACGGGTTTGTCACGCCTTAATTATACACCTACATCCGATCTAGATTATGGTACAATTTCTTGTTATGCCAGAAATTCAATTGGTCAACAGAAAACACCGTGTGTTTTTCAAATTATAGCAGCAGGTATGTAAATTAATCTTAATTTAAAATTAAAACAAAACAAAAAAAACTGGAAAAAAATTGAACTTAATTTTAAGTCAAAATTTCGTGTGGAAAGGCCATACTGTAAATGAAAGAAAAATATACTTTAAAATATGTGGATACTTCATTTTATTTATACACATACTTATAATCTATAGCAGTTATTAGAGTGGTATAAATAAGTTGAATATAATATTTTAATGTAATATTTACAAATTTGACTCTGCGAACATTTTCCTGAATTTTCATAATACTGATTAAATTTTTTTAGCACTTTTCCAAAAAAATTTTGAAAAACAGTGCTTATTAGTTTCACTCTGTCCGTCCGTCCGTCCGTCCGTGTGTCTGTTTACAAAACTTCTACACCCTTGAAGATAGAAAGCTGATCTTTGATTTGTAAGCTGATTTGTACGTACATAGATCTTTACTAGTAACTTATTTTCGTAGAACAAAATTTTTATCTATCTCCCCCCCTTTAGAAATTATACCCCCCCGAAACCCTAAAAATGCCATTCTTTAACTATTTAGTGCAATGAAACCGTAAGGATTTTTCAAATTTTGCAAACGCAGAAAGGCAGCGGCTAGCTTCCCCTAGCGCGGTATACTATAGTTAAACTTTAGAAAAACAAAATGGCCTTTCAAATTTACCGTTATATAAAGTCCTTTTCTTCCAAATTTTTGATGTCGTTTTTCTTCTAGACTCTAGCCTGTAGAAGCTTGAAATTTTAGGGGCTTTTAGACATTAACAAATAATTCATTTTGTTAGAAGAAAATTTTTTTCCATCTCCACCCCCTCTCAAGTTATCGCCCCTTGAAATTTGTAAAATTTTAATTTTTGACACCCCATATTTCCGAAACCGCAAGTTTTTTCGAATTTCCATAAACGCAAAAAGTTAACGGTAAATTCCATAACATTAAAAAATATAATTACTTTTCTTAACTCACACAATTAAATCTTAAAATCGAGCATTATGTTAACCCCCCTTTATATAAATTTTTGCTTTATTTCAAAGATTGCATAAATCGTTCATCCTAAATATATGCAATCCTAGAAATAGTTTTGTATATGAATGAAAATAATTTTAATAGTGTGATAGGTATACATAGACTGTATTTAAAAGCAGAATTTTCACTTGTTGAATGGAAAAGTGCTACAATACAAACCATTGGTTTGACCCAACTTTATTTAACTTAATCCTGCATATACACTCCTGATGTAATAGAGTGAATAAAGTTCATGCTTACCAAAATGATACCAAAATGCTACACAAATTATGTCTTACATGTAAATGTAAGGTATAAGTTCAGTTAGCTTTACTCAAATTTTGATACCATACATACATATATTAAAAAATTCTCTAACATTTTTGAAATTCAATAAAATTAATAGTAATAATAGAGCTCCGTCATAACATTGACAGGCTTGTCTAAAATTGTAGTCTAAAATAATTTAGTTTTCTTAAAAGAAAAGAATATAAAAGCCCATTCTAATACATTGGATTTGGAACGGCTCTTAAATATTTTTCAGATAAATTCAATACTTTTGTTAGAAATAATGTTGATAAGGAATGTTGGTTAACGTTTTGTTTTCTAATTTATGTTGAAAATTCAGTTATTTATAAATTAATAACGTGACCTATATAGCTTCTTTTACTTTTTGTGGTAAAAATCTTTTATTTTCAACTTTTGGTGAATAAAAAATGGTATGTAATTCCAATATTTTGTTATGTATTCAAATCTTACTCATAGTTTAATTGCTCAAGAATATTTTCTCATTAATATCCGAAATTGTAAAAAATTATTTATTAAAACAATTAAAACTACAACAATATTAATAATTATATTTAAACGAAGACTACCTTCGAAAAAAATCTTATAAGCAGATAACCTCTGCCACATAATTAACGTACCGATTATGATTTCTTTCATCAATATTGATTATAAACATTAAGGTTCATTAAAATTTTATATTTTAACATGATTTATAGCTTCAATTATTACAAAATCCATTCTTTTTTTTTCATCCATTTCTTTAAAAATTTATCGAAAAATCCAAATGGTTCAAGTTATATGATTCCATTTATGTAAAAATTCATAAACCTTGAAAATATTATTGGTTTTCCTCATTCTTTATCATTCAATTCAATTTTTATACAATTTATTTCAGTATTTTGTATATAAGTTTTTCTACTATTTTTATAGTTTTTACGGGAAAAACCATTTTACAGCGCAAATTTTCTATATAAGAATCTTTTCTATTCTTATAGTAAAAAATTCTGTAAATTTTAACTATTAATACATATTTGATTGTTCTAGGAATGCTTAATGTATTTTTATTCTTTTGTTTCCTATATTTTCTTATATTTTTTTTTTCATTTTAATTTTACAGGAAAACCATTTCCATTACAAAATTGTTCAATATCAAATCAGTCAAGTGATTCATTACAAGTTGAATGCATTGAAGGTTTCGATGGAGGCCTACCACAAGGATTTATTCTTGAGTTAGTTGAAATGCAGAGTCTTCGCCTTGTAAGAAATTTAAGTTTACAGGTAAAAAACAAATAAAGAATAAATAAGAATAATGAAAAGTACAAAAAAAAAAAAACAAATATCGAAAAAAGGATAAAAAAAAGCATTGTTACGATTATTTTAAAATGGGAACACTTTTCGTATCCGTAATGGGTTTTTTATGTTCTATTTTTCATATTCTGATTCTTGAATATTATTTTTATTCTTTTCTTCTTTTCTTTTTATAAAAAAATCTTAAAATTTAATGGATTCGATCGCATACAATAAAATAAAATATACTCATTCAATAATTCCAACGCAAATATGGGAAAATTTAAAAAATTTTTTTTTTTATTTTACCGTTATTTTTATCTCAATGTGCAATTCTATTATTATTTCTTTTTTTTTTCTTGTCTTAATGTAAATTTTCATTTAAAAATATTAAATTTTCTAATAGAAATGCTATGAAAGTAAATCCCAATCAATGAAAATTGTTAAAAATTATTCAAGGATTTTCTTTTTTTATACACACATACGGAAAAGTTAAGTATATTTTGTAAAGTACATTAAAAGGAGTTGTAAAAATGAAGGTGAAATTCATATCAAAAATTAATTTTTATTACATAATGACATTGTATAAATCAAAATCTTATTATGAAATGCAGAATAACAGAATAATTTGGTAAGTCAAGTTTGGTAATTTTTATAACAATTTGGAATTTTCCATATAAACTGCAAAATGCTTACTATCTTATTACAAACTTCTTATTCAAATTTAAATTGTTGAACTATAATTTACCCATTTCCAACATAAACAAGATATAATGTCAGATTTAATACAATTTACCAGCACTACGGCACATAGCTCAAAAATTTTAAAAATACATAAAATACAATAATTTTAACTTTTTATCGAATGGAATATACAATTCAAATAATAATATTATTGTAAATTTTGTGTTCCGGCAGAGAAAATTCTTACTTGATTTTATTTAAATTTTACAATTTGCTTTACTAAATGCATTTATTCACTAAACTGCATATAAGGGTAAGTTTACCACAAAAACTAGGCAAATTACTCAAAAATACTAATTTTTACTTCAAAAAATATTGGTTTCAGACTATATGACATGCGAATTGATTTATTTATGTCGTCTATTTCAGTTATGATAAAATAATTCAATGAACTAGAAGTATATTGAACTCAAAACTTATAAGACATTATAGGAACTCATATTTTATATGACTATACCATAAAATGTTACAGTTTCTTTAAATTTTCTTTATTAATCAATATGTAATTTAAGCTACTATCATATTGTCATTATATTTGACTACAGCAAAATCATTTTCGAATAATTAAAGATTTATCATGTCTTAAGTGTTTATAATACATAAAATGTTTATAGGTAAATATGATAAATTAATTTCCCATATTAAATTTTTCCGCATGCTATGAAAATTTTCCCATTATTATTTAAAAGATTTTTCAAAATCAATGTACAAAAATTCTAATGCCTTTATCTTTTAAAGTTCAACTGAAATTATTTCATTACACCTCTAGTGTATTGAATATTTTAAAACAAAATACAATCTTATATATAAAAAGGAAAACAATATGAAAAATTCCCTTATACCTAAAATTTTAATATTACGTATTTGCAATTGTCAAATGAAATCACTTGACAAATTTCAAGAAATATTGTAGGTACTTTTTCTGCAAATATACATAAATAATAACATACATTATATATTTATATACACAAATATATGTACTCATATATTATGCATACAATTTTACCTAATGTATAAAAATGTTTCTCATGTCACTACATAAATAAAATCTTAAATGTTTCTTTTCTTCTAAAGTGGTTGATATGTTCCTTTTTTTTTTTTTTGAACAGAAAAGCAATCTTCATGGTTTCTCTCTTATTTTTTGAGTTGAATTCATTGTACCATGTACTTGTTGTACATATACTATAAGCATATTTTTATGCATGTAAATGTGAGGCGCATTCAAAAGCCTACTGAATAATTTAACAAGAAACTGTTTTTTTTTTTCGTGTTTCAGATATTTATAAAAATGAACAGCAAAAATAAATTTAGAAGCAGCGATTGTTTTGCTTTTCATATGTACCTATTGAATGAGTAATCTACGATATATTATACGAATAGTAGTTCTTTATATTTTTTTCATAATTTCACCTTAACTATAGGGGAATCTAAAAATCCTTGAAGGTCAATGTAAAGGTCTCAATTGTTACACTTGTAGAATTTTACTTTCGCTTAAGTACATAATGGCTTTCTTGGAAAAAAAAAAGACAAAATGAATAAAATAATATTGTATAATGTTATAAATGAATTTCATTTGAAGAAGTTTAAGAAGAAGCAGGCTTTTAAATAATATTTAATTTAAGTGCCTATATGCGTATATATACAAAAATATAAATTGTATATTGGAACACATATTGGAACCATTCAATTAATTTACCAGAAATTATGAAAAGAACAAAAACAACTCATTTTAGAGAATTTGCCATAAATTTATTAAAAATTTATTAATACATAATAATTATAAACTAAGTTAAAATTATGTTCATTACTTCATATAAAATCTTAAAAAATTTAATTAATTACAAAATTTTGCCTACTTTTAGGGTAATTTTAAGAAAAATGCATTAATTTTTTAAAATTTGAACAAAAATTTTCTTGAAGTTTTATTGATTTAATATACATTAATAGGAATTTGTTTTACTTATTAAATTCGTTTGAATTTATGTTTTATTTTTCGGTAGATTATAAATAAATTTATTCCATTTATTTGGGTATTTAATAAAAAAGTGTTCCCAATTTATATTATTTTTTTTTCTTAATTTATTCCTAAGTATTCAAATCATTCTTTAATTCGAAATAATTTAATAATATTTAATAACTTACAGAGACCTCCAGTAAATTTTTATGTTGAAAATTTGGAGCCTGGAACCTCATATCGTATTATTTTATCAGCTGTAAATGCAAAAGGTCGCTCTGATCCAACAATAATCGATGATATTACATTTAAAGGTGTTGCAAAATATACTGGTAAGTGAAATTCTAAACAATTTTCTTTTATCATTAAGTGTTACAAAACCAAATAACTTTATATTTCTAAATTACAAAGATATGAAACATGAAAATTGACAAGCAGAAATTATGCAGTTGAATGAGTAGATCACAATTATTATATATATAGAATGAGGCAGATAACCAAGTGTTCGTCTCATTCATGTACAATTTTTTATTAAGCATTCCATAACGAAATAAGCCAAATAAAAATAATTCAACTTTATTTTTAATATATAAATCTACAGCTTTCATCCCGTTTCCAATTATAATAAAAATAAATTGAAAAAATCGAAATCCATTAAAGCATTTTAAAAACAATTTTTCAATTAGATAATTCCAATTTTTTTACTTTTTTAATATTTTTAATACTTTCTCAATAAATAATTGATAGAAAAGTTAATTAAAAGGAATAATAGAAGATAAATGAAGATCTTTTATAAAAATTCATTTACCCATTATGAAAATCCATTTACACATACATACATACGTATCGATACAAACTTATATAATTTTGACTTTGTACAATATTATTCAATTTAAATGCAAAATATATAATTTTTAAAATTAAATTTTCTTGTTTTTCAACATAAATTCTTTTAGTAATTAAAAATTTTATCGAACTGATATTTAAATATTAGTATGGAGAGTATTTATAAGATGTTTTAAGTATTAATAGACATTTATTTATAAAGGTACCTAGAAATAAATGTATAGGTATTTATATAATATATACTTAAATAGAGAAAAAAAATGAATTCTTTTAATACCCCTGAATAAATCGAAATTCAAAATACTCATGATTCAAATAAATCAATATTTTAATCTCTCAGCACTATTATACAATTCCATTTAGAGAATTATTCTGGATACCCTTTAATAGTACAATTATTTTACCTCTAAAGTATTTGAAATTTAGCATAAAAGGAAAGGATAAAATTAATTCAATTCCTTTTACACTAATTATATTGCATATTTAGGTGTTCTACATTATATGTGTATAAGAAAAATTTAAATAAAATGGAAATAAAAGAAGCACATACGATTAATTATTATTATTGGAATGTAGTGTCGATGCATACACGAATGCATGAACTTAAATTTAAGGGATTAACTATATAAAATCGAAATAATCGTAACATAGAAACATCATTATTTTTTCTTTGAAAAGAAAATAATTTTCAATTTTATTTTTTAAATCCGAAAATAATACAAAAAAACTTTCTTTTAATTTACTAATAAAACACAAATAATTTCCTATGATACGAAATTTCATATTTTTAAAAAAGTACGGGATAAAAAAAAAACAAATACTTACAAAGAAAAGACAAAACTTAATCTTATTTCTAAATTGAAAGTTTTCTATAATTGTTTTTCCTGTCTAAGTTTTACATATTTAAAAATAAAACCTTTTTATATAAAAATTATTTAAATAAAAGTCTTGTAAGCGGTCCAAGCTCCAAAAATATTGATACTAAGAATCACAAATTTATACTACGAATCCAAATATAAAAATATTATGCTAAATTTTAAACTCAAATATAAAAGTGTGACGTAGGATATCTGCCTAAAACTCTGTTATTACTTGTTTGTTTGATATTATCAGCAAAAGTAAAGCAGCAAGCAGCGCATTATTTTCAGAATATTTTTCTCAATGATTATTCAAATATGAATGTAAAAAGCATATACGTACCTATGCAAATTTAAATTCCTCCTTAATTTATTCTTTATTTTGTTATTAATTAATTTACCTCTTTTAAGTATCAGTGAAATACTATTCTGAATTTAATAAACTTACACTGGCACTTGCACATTGGAAATAAATAAAAAGTTTATAATTATGAAGATCAAAAAGAAACACTGTTTTTTGCCGTTATTCAAATCACAACATGGAACAACGATAGTAATACAGTTTAGAATTAAAATTATATAAAAACATAATATTAGTATTTTCTCGAACACATTATTCGTACAGAACCATAATAATTCATTTCTTAATTTTAAGTCTTACGGAGCCTGCCTGTGGATAGCCCATGTAGATAACACAGCTCCTTAAACTGTTTAGAGAGAAAACTTTCATATCCTTAACTAATTTCAACTTAATTAAAATAATAAATCTTTCAATCAATATTGTATAACAATTTTTTCCGAATTCAATACAAATGTAAAACGTTTTTATTAAAATTAATTGAAACATTTTAATAGTAAAATATCATTTTCTTTCATTTTAAATAACTTTTAAAAGTAATATTCAAATAATTTTTTTTTGCTTAATTTTCCCGCACTACAATTAAAAGAAATTCTCTCTTTGATCATAAACAGGAATAATGCTATATAACGAAAAATAGAATGAAAGGTACCAAACTAAACTAACATTTCATGCTTGAATTATGCCGTTAAAATAAACATTGAAAAAAAAATATTCATTATATTTTTTTATTCTCTCCATCTCTTTTTCTCTCTAGTTCTTTATTTTCTTTTATTTATCTCTCTCTCTTGCATATTATCATAACATCCTATTACTTGTCATTTTTCCCTTTACATTTTTAAAAATTTCACTTTACAATAATTTTCACAAAAAGTGTATAAGAGAAAAAATTACAGTATATCATTATGCTAAACATACCAATATAAAAATATGTACATTTAGATAACTTCTTATTGCATTTAAAAGAGAAGAATCCTTTACAGAAAAAAAAGGAGAAACAACTTTAATGAAAACAGAAAGAAACCAAAAAAAAAAACTCAATTGGCGTTGTATTTATGAATTAAACATGAGTTGTTCTTTTGTATTCCACTTTTTCTGTTTTTTTTTATATTTTTGACTTTTATTCTTTCTATTTTTTTAGATTTTTATTGTTTTTATGCTCTTATGTCTGTGTATATGTCTATAATAATACCTTCCATTTTTGTGTTCTGTTTTTATTCATTTTCCTTTATTTTTCTTTTTTTTTTTTGCATACATTTTCCAAGAAATTATTCACTAAAAACATGAAGTAACAAAGGATAAGTTTTACTTTTTAGTGAAGGCTTTTTAAGTTTTGAAGTTTTTGTTTCTAATATTGTGTATGTACTTGAAAAAATTCTCATAATATTTTTTGCTTTTATTTTTTTATTCCATAAATTTGCATTTTATTTTTTATATGCTCTTATAAGCTGATTATAAAATTCATATAGATTTATGCATAATATACAGTTTAACATTTACCGTTTTGACTATTTTAAGCCAATTGGATGATATTAAGAATTTGGTGCTCAATATACTATTATTACAAATTGTTTAGTTTCAGTCACTCACTCTTAAATAATAGTTGTCAAATGAGCTTGAAATTATTTTTAATTCGAAAATTAAAAATATTTAATTAATTTTGAGTTAAAAATTCGAAAATTGTCCAAATTTATGTGAGTGTCAAATTAAATTTGACACAAATTTTTCGGATTTTTGCACTTTACATTTTCGGAAAATTTCAGTGCGCTTTGTATTATTAAAAAATTATTTTAATTTATTTTCAGAATTAGTACAGATTGAAATTTTATTAAATGGGAAATTTGATATTTTATTTTGCATTGACAAAATAATCACATCAGATTTGTTCAACACTAAATTATATCTGACACCTCGTTTGCATATTCTTTTCGAATAAATTTGCGGAAATGAATTTACTAATCACAAATTTTACTGAAGTAGCGGAGGGCTAAGCAGGAGGGAGCGGAAGTTTTCTCCGAAGAATTGGGGTGGGAGTTATCAATTAGGCTGCCTGATATCTTTGGGATTTTCGTGAAGGGATTATTATCTGGCTATCCTTGTGAATTGTGCGGCAATGATCGGGGCTTTAGCGTCCCAATTAATTAGGTCGTTAAAGGGAGGTACTTATAGCACTTCGTGATATGTTAAAGATGAGTGTATGCTAAGTTCCCGACAACTCATAGATAGAGAAACTAAAAGGGGGAGAAAAATCTTGTAGGCGAAAGCTCATGCATTCAGGGTTGCCAGAACGATGTAGCTTAGTATGGAGGGGAATAGGACGAAGGAGTTGTTGGGAGGGTGCTGACGAGTTGCGTACTGTTGAGGGTGTCTCTTAGAGAAAATGGTCATGGGACTTGAAGTGAGTAAAAGTTTAATTACAAATGAGTAATATTAAGATTTTAAAAGCAATCTTTACCTAATTGCTTTTAAAATCTTAATATTACTCTATTCTTAATATCTTCTAAATAATAGAAGACCCTGTAAGATCTCTACTGTACGTATTTTTAGGTATATTTAGGTATTAAGTTCTTTTTTGTATTACGTTTGTTTTTTACATTGCTGCTGATTTTAGAGAACAATGAACAAAATTTTAAATTGTAAATTTAAATTTTTAAATTTACCTTCTATTTATTTTTATTTTGTGCTTGTTTTATTTGATACCATGAATATTATTTTGAATTGTTACAAAATTATATGGTTCGTTTTCTTTTAGATAACCATCAAGTATAAACCTTAAATTAAAGAAATTACTTTTTTTCCACTAAAATAAATATTGTGTTACAAAATAAATTTACATTTACAGAGTATTAAGAACATTGCGGTTTTATATACAATATTTTAATGTAAACTGTATACAATTACTGAAATTCATTTTAGATGATAGCCGAATTTAAAATTATTATCATAATCACATAGTATATGTATGTAGATGACTATCGTCATTATTATTTATTATGTATGAAAATATTATTAAGGATAATTACGAGTACAAAAAAAAAAAAATAATAATTTTTACTTAAAAAAATTAATGGCAACCCAAAATTATAACAGAATATAAATGTAACGTGAGCCTCTGTTTTATTAAAGTATGATTTTATAAAATTTTCCATTTATGAGACCAACGATATAAGCTAAAAAATGTGATTTTGCAGTTAAGTTTATAACATTTACTTAAGATATTCTAAATCCTCCTTAAAAAATTGCGTAACAAGAAACTTGTGATACAGTCATG